AAATTCATTGAATCATTAAATATGGGATCAGACCAGCAGTAACACAATCCAGAAAAACATTCATTCATTCATTCATTTATTCATTCATTTGTTCATTCATTCATTTCAGTCTACCTAGTTAACTTGTAACTGTCCTACATGTGGTTGAATAATATATATGGTTTTGAGATTTTTCTAATTTCCCCATAAAAATCTTTGTTTTTAACTTTTTAATTCTGTCCTGCTTCTTTCAACACCATAACTAAATTTGTAGAGACTAATAAAAAAAGGAACATATAAAATTTTCAGCTTTGGTTATAGTTTTTCCTATAAATATACAGTGGGAAAGAAATCACTTAGTAACTCTGTGTCTTAGTTTTCATGTTAGTATATTACTGTTTGCAATTTTACTTGGAAATCAGTAATAATAGGTCACATCTGTTATGTCTCACCATTTGAGCCACAGATTCATTCAAACAGTCCCCCCTTCTCATGTTCCCACACAATCAACAGCCCATCACAACTTGCACTTTTTTTTAATTCTGCACAAGCTGTGCAGCTAAAAGTCTAAAGATGTAGTAACCTACATCTAATTAATAATTTTTCATGGCTAGGGTTTGACTGAAACAAACACTACTCTAAACTCAGTGAGCTCTGTAATATACATCTCAAAAGAGCTACTAATATGTGACAATGTGTATGAATAGCCTTGCACTGGAGCCATGGGTACTATTTACTTCTAGGGCAGTGAATAGCCTCTTCTCAGGCTGAGACACACAGGAATAACAATTATGTAACTATATTAATTAAAGTCATTTCAATGGCACTGCCATCACCCTCAAGAGTAATGGACAAAATAGAAGCTGCAAAACATCTTCACTCTAGTAAGTGCACCATCCTTTTTACAAACTTTCTTGCAGACTGATTTCTTAACATTATTTTAGTTCGTATTTGGAAGGTACTTCACATTCTTGGCAGATACAAGAATTCAGTTCATTTATTAGAACATACTTTTGACTTGAATTTTATCCAATAATGCTGTTACTAATCTAAGATGCTTGGATGTAACAGTCATCTATAATTCCTGAAGTCCTCACTACTTCACTGACTATAACTGCTGCAACAATAACAAGTACACATTGAATATTGCACACATAATCCAAAAATAAAATGGAAAAAAAAGTCATAGATGCATAAAGAGGAAAAGGCTCTTAGAAAGAGAAAGGAAGAAAGTATTCTGCACCACCATTTAATAAAGATCTGCCGAATCTGTAGCAAACTAACAGAGAATTTTTTTTTTTTTTGTGGGTGGAACTGGGTAGAAGTTAAACACATGCAAAACACTAAAATACTTCCTCTGTTTCTTAGCGGTTATTGCTTTTGCTGAGTGATAGGCTCAAAACCTTTCTTATGGGCAAAAATCAAGAATGATCACCAATTATAAAGCAGGGTGAGCTTACATCAAAACAAGGGGCAACTGGAGGGTCACCTTTGTTTTGGATATTTGGCTGCTGTAATGAGTCATCAGTTTCTATAAACTGCGTCCCCTGAGATAATGAGTAGAGAGCAATGTTTTTCCAGTGTGTGACCAACCTGGTGTGTGCAGGGGAAAGTGTGTATATGGTCCAGCCAAGCATAAAATATAAAACTGGATAAATAATTTAAAAAATCTTTGAAAAAAAACAAATTTGTGCGTACTTCAACCTCATATTCCTTGCCTGTGAATGGAGATACCCAGCATCAGGACAAGAGATTGATAATTAGAATCACATTCCTATCATTAAATTATTTATTGCAATTGCTATATTATGGTGTGCATTGCTGTATGCCTCTGCTAAATAAAAATTCTATGTCATGCTAAATATAACACATTAGTAAATTTGAAAGTAAACATTAAAACGTCCTTGTGGAACATCTAAAAGGACCTCAGTAGAGACAATTATCTCTGTTTGTCAACAGCTCACCCCTCAACTGGAAAAAATTGGATGAAGAGGGGGCAGGGAGTCCCAGCAAATGAAGAACAAACAAGGGTCAATTGAACAACCAGGCCAGCAGCTCCTGCTCAACAGGACAAAATCCTCAGTATGGAGCTGCAGGAGTAAGCGAGCAGGCTGTGGAGCACCACGGAGGATGAAGGGCTCAGGACCAACACAGCAGCCCTGTGGAGATGAACACCTTAATCCCCAGCACTCTAGCACAGGGACAGCCAGAGTCTTTGGCCCAGGTCCCTGCTGGGGATCCCCATGACAGCAAGGGCATTATCAAGCTGCAGTGAGTGCTCAGCTATGTGGACAGGTGGAGCACAGAACGCATAGGGAGACACTTATAGAGCTGGTTTAGATTAATCTGGAGAAGACCAAGGAGGTTTTCTCAGCTACCTGCTCTCTTCAGCTACGCTGGGAAGTGCAGGAGAGGACACAGTCAGGATCTCCTTGCAGCTACACATCAAAAGCACAAGAGATCTTTGCTGCACCAAGGGCAGGACTGTTTTTCTCATAATTTTCCTAGGATAAGAATATAGTTTTATTTAAAATTTTCTAGAAATTGCTGCCGTATCAGAGAAGATGCAAAATAAAGTCACAGATGTGTTTTATTCTCTCAAATGTAAAATATATTAAAAAAATAACCCCCTTAATTTGAAAAACTGAACATGAAATAGTCAAGAAAGAACATACATTGTTAGCCACTTTGGGGTTAATTTCTAAATTTTTTCCTGTGCTTTATTTAGCTATGAGGTGATGAGATGGATTCTGTTTTTCTTAGATCTGAAGTCTCATTCATCAGAAAGCATACATCTCTCTGGAACTGCTTCCCAGATTGCAACATCTAATCTTAAGAATCTTTGCTGGAATTCTACTTAATGTGCATATATCCTTCCATATTTTCTATAAACCAGAACACCTTTGATCAATGTGATCAGCATATCGACTCATGAGTCCCCTGCCAGTGTAAGGCCATCTGACAAAATACTGGTGACATGCAGAAACGTTTTTGAAGTGCTAACTGCCTTGGTAACAGGCCTCTATTATTATTGCAGGGTAGATATATCCATATCCCTTCTGGACAATCTGGTGAGAAAATAAGACATTAATCAATTGACTTTATGAGTCTTAGTACATAACTATTTCATGGCATAAAACTCTAGAAATACTTATACAAAGACATCAGTGACATGGAAGTCAGCTAACTGCTAGTTTCACAGTGAGACAAGATATAATATGGAATGCAAGTGATTTATGGGGTGACTGAATAATGGACATAGCTGCTCAGGAATCTCCAAATCATTAAAGAGACATTTCCTTGGGAAACTGAGCAGGCTGAAGAGAAAGCTGCCTGGAAGCCAGGGACTTGATCACTGTGCAGTTAGGTTCAAACAGAAACAGAGAATGCTGGCAGGACCCTCCTGCTCCCCTGACAGCACAAGGGAGCAGCATGGCATGAAAACTGAGAAATAAGCAAGCTGGCCAGTATCTCCCAAGAGCAGAGAAAAAAATCAATATGTTCCCATCAAAACATTTCCTCAGAATCAGAAAGTGTTTTTCTTATGGAAGGTTTTCAGTGGTTCTTCCTACAGTGCCAGGCCATTAAATTTGTCATATGCCCCCTCACTGTTTGCACAAATAAAATAATTCCAAAAAGCTTTTATTGTAGTTAATCCCTTCTCTCCTTCTGTTTTTACCCTCCCTTCCTGGATCTTGAAGTTGAACACCACTCTGTATAAAATGATTCATAAATATTAATTAGAGGAAATACATAGGGAAGGAGAGCACAGTTAATTACTGCTTAGAGAAGGATCTATTTTATAGGAAATTAAATTATTTCATTATGTTATTATTATAAGTCGTTAAAATTATAATTAATTTTCTTAAGTATTGTAGCAATAATAAAAGAATGTCAAAATGTGTTCTCTTTGCATTTTTTTAATACAGCATAAAAACTTATACCAGGAAAAATGGTCTCATCAATACCAAATGTGTTTTTTTGCTAAGAAAACCGAAATTTTTACATAGATGCTTATGAAAACAAGATGATGTCCAATAGTTAGGAAAATACCAAAAGTGTATTTGGCAGGGACTACCAGACATTTCCATTAAAAAAGCCTATTAAATAGTGGATTTATACCCCTTTCTACACAGTCAATCAGAAGAAAATCTTTACCAATATTCTGGAAAAGAAAAACAGTATCAGAAAACCTATAGAAAAAAGCAGAGGAAGAAATACAGTATTCTATTTTCATTTACTTTATTATAGTGCTATTTTATAAATCTTCAGGGGTAAAGGAAAAGAGCTAAACCTCAAGAAACTTTTTTTTTTTTTTTACTCATTAAACACTATTCTCACTCAAATTCTGATCCACCAAGCCAGGTCATAGCTACAGTTAGCAAGTGCTCACTCTCCTCATCCTTGGAAAAATGCTTCCTATAGAGGAATTGTCTCTTTTGTAGCTGTACATAGAAGATTATGCTCATTTACATTACCACACACAAAACGCTGTTTGCATTGGGAAATTAATTTGCAGAGACTACATGTTATTATATGCAGCTAGAGAAGAAAGAGCTTGGCAAATCAGAGTCATCCTGAAAGAGGTTTGTTTCTAGAGTTTGTCTTAGTGAGTAAAGATCAACTTAGTAAACTCTTATATTTATACATGGCATGATATTAATTTCTAGACCAGAAAGAAAGAAGTATATCTTATACAAATATCCACCCGAGATTTACAATGTCATTGTTTGTAGAAAGAAAATACTGAAATAAAGGGAAGGGTGAAGAAGACACATTATTAGGATATACTGCAGAAAGGGGAAAAAAAAAAAAACCAAAAAAGAAACTAGAACACAGAGGCAAAGAGAAAGAAAGAAATGAAGAAATGCATGGATTGGATGACCTTAGGGAAAAAAATAACAGAAAGACAACTGGAAGCTTGCTATTTTACTGTAAACAGACAACTCTCAAGCATTCAGGCTGAAAATCCAGTTGCTCTCCAACCGCACATGCTATCTACGCTCATAGTTTGCATTTCCACTGAGACCAGACTCCATTTTTTCTTTCCTAAACTTAAACACTTTAATGCTTAATGCTTTCCTAGACTTTCAAAGCTTAGATCTGACTCCTATGTCTTACATAATTTTCCAAAGAAAAGAAGGGATATTAAGAGAAAGGTTCACACTTACATAGTTGGTTTATTTGCTTGTTAGTTTTTCAAATTTAATAACTAAAAATTATCTTCCAGCAATTTCACCACTTCAAAGTCATCTCATAAAATCCTTTTTCATCTCTTAAGATCTGATACATGGTGAAAGTACAAATGCAGTCAGTTCAAATCAGGTTATCTCAACCCAAATCAGTTAATTCAAGTTCACAAACTGCTAATCTGACCTTAGAATAGGATGGTGGAATTGGACTGACCTAAGGATAGAACATTTCTTAATGCTTTCTTCTGACTAATGAAGTTCTATGTATTTGAGAATATAACAGCTTGGACATAGCATGCAAGGACTATTTGCATTTTGCAGACAGTAATTCTTATTATTCAGAGAAGAAATTGGAATTAAACAGACAAATTTAGGAATAATTAGTCCTCAATGTAAATGTGCTTATGGCAGCAACTACAAAGACTTTTGCTCCTAGCACCTTACCTTCCATGACTTTCCTGACCCCAAACATAACAAGGATTTTTAATATTTAGCAGAATTCACACAAACTCCCAAAACTACCCACTCCAAGTCTAGGTCAAAATCCCACTGTTCCCAAGCAATGCTGATGCTGGCCTTTAAAACCTGAAATGGAAGAGAAAACACCCTGAGATAGAAGTGTAATTTTTCCATTTTATTCCCACAGGATATAATAGAAAACAAATGCACTACCTACATTATTTTATGATGGCAGTTCCAGTTCCACCACTTCTGGGATACTTAATACCTGTCCATCTAATTAATCCAGCAGGCTAAGAGACAAAAACACATAGGGGAAAAAAAGCTTATTTGCACTGGATGTCTTTCTGTGTTTAAGCTAACCTACACAAAAGGCAAGAACACAAATTTTATTCAGTATTCTGAACATAAGAACTGTTAATTCAATTTTCTTAGAATTTTGGGATTTGAGAATAATACAGTTAGATCTTACAGACACAATTATAATGATTTTAATGTTCTTTCGGGTTTTTTTAATTATATTTTTCTTCCTGTATTGAATGCAGCATAAAGCATTGAAACTATCAGGTTACTTAGGACATCTTAATCTACAAGAATTTCACCGAGTGAGCTCTTGGTTCCAATTTCATTCTGTGAAGTCTATTAGAGCTGAATTCTTTGTCCATAAGCTGACCAGTAGAATTGTTATCTATGTTGGACATATTCTCTTTATTTTTGATAATATGCCAGAAGAAATTGAAATTAATGGGAAAAAACCAAACAAACAAACCAAAAACAAACAAACAAAAATCACACACACACACATAAAAAATAACTTTACAGAAGAAACACTCCCATAAGAGTTTTAAGTTTAGCTTTAGAATCACACAACCAGTAAAATTTTGGAGCTCTCCATGCATTTTTGAGTTGCACTACTACAAAAACTTTCTATTTTAATATTTCCATAGTTACCTTTCACTCAAATGTAGCAATGTAATTAAAAAAAAAATACTAAAAAATGCACATTTACTCTACAAACATAATTCATTGATACTGCAACAAGGCAATGAACTCTATTTTCCTTTTTTCAATCCATGACCTTGTTTCCATAAAGAATGAAGTACTGATAAAAAGAGTCCTTGCACTGCAAAGGGCATTTTCTTTCCTGTCTGACTCAATGGTAAAACATAATTTGATATCCCACTGAAATTGGTTTTATAATGCCCATATATATCTGTAGCTTTTCCAGAATATTGTGCAGTGCTAAGAATAAAAACTTCTCACACTTTTAAAGAAGTTTAAAACTTTTGTAATCAAAGAGAAGACACTTTTTTTTTTGCATATAATTTACTTAAAGCAATATTTTGATATAAAGCCCTACTTGAAAATCCTTTTATTCATATGATCAAATCAAAACCAAGATATCCAGGATTGACTCTGCTAATAATGACAAACACTGCAACATCTGCTATTGAAGCAGCAGAAAATAACAGACCAGAAGCTGGAGTTCTCAGAAATATGACCAGTTTCTCAGTACTTAGTTTCTTAGTGCCAACTGCAGTTCTGAAAGGAAAGATTAGTGTGATAGTAAATGGTTTTAGCTTTTAAGTTGTGATTTAGCATTGGAGCACACTTGTCCTGCCGAAAACACACAGAAGCTTATCTGTCATTAATTTGAAAGGCAAATGGCTTTGCAGTTACTGAATGGTTAAAAAAAAAAAAAAAAAAAAATCCACAAGGGCAGTGCTACATTATAGCTAAAGGACAGAACACAATGTTGATACCTCACCTTGTTTCTAATATTCCATTAAAGTAATGTTTATGACAAACTTTGTTCATTGTCCTTTGCACTCTCATTTTCTTTGGAAACAGTATTTTCCTTTCCAAAGTTCATACCCAGGAATTCATTTAAGAATGAATAAGACTCAAAAGCCTGTTTAATTTCAGGTGGGGCAACATTGAATAAATGGGGGAACATCTCACTGGTAACAAATTCAGATTGCTTCTAATAAAACATGACTTGGGAAGTTGACTTATTAGTTGAGTAATGTGAAATAATTAAGATTTGTTTGCCAAATAACAGAAGCCATTGGAAATTCTGTCTCAAGAGGCTTTGATGGCATAGACCAGTGCACAGTAATTTTCTCACTTCAAGAAGATAGCCTACTCTAAAATAATAAAGATTTACTTTAAAAAAATCCCAAACAACAAAAATATTCCTCTAGCCTCAGTCAAAGACACTAAAGAAGAATCCCTAGGAGATTTCCTATTGAACATAGTAGAGTCACTGATATCTATGGTGCCAGTAGTGGGGTGCATATAAGGAATATATTTCATTTAAGCAGAAGAGGTTCTGAGACAAACCAACAGCTGGTCTGTGCAATTCCTCTCCAAATAAAAAGTATTTATTTTGGCTAGGAACTAGATGGACACTCAAGTGCTGTGAACTTGAAATCTGCATTTTTTTTTTAATTTTTTTTTTGCTATATCAGTATTCCCAAAGGCATTTCAGTCTCTTTCTTCTTTCAAGCTCTCTTCACTCCTTTCCTGTGTAGAATACATGAATCAGTTCAAGACAACTTACATGGTGATTGAAAACAGAATGGCAAATACATACCTAGAAATTGAAGAAAGCTATGACAAATTTTAAGTTATTTATGTATCATGCTCTTTACAGGATGGGACTTAAAATAAATGTTCCCTTTAGTAAGGAGCTTTACTTACCTCAAATAAATGTATCATGACTACATTGAAAGTGAGAAAGTGGATGGGGGAAAAGCAATAAAACAATTGATTAAAAATTGATTACTTTCAACAACGGGCAGCAAATTAATTGGTGTGCTACACCTTTTGATTTTGAGGGGTGTTGTAGGGAGACACTATTGAGAAGTAAAAATGAAATTCTGAAAATGAGTCTTTATAGAACAGATAAATATAATGTAAAATTGAAATTTAGGGTTTTTTCACTTCAAACAGGACAGATATTCAGAGAGTTAGTCGAGTTGAAATCCAGAAAATTAATTCTCTTATCTGGACATGCAGGCTGCAACACAGGGCACAAAAGTAGGGAGCGACATGGACTCAACTACTTAACAGTCAAAGTATTGAATATTGTTCAATATCAACCATTTGGTGCTCAAGATTTTCTTACCCGACGTTAACTGAGATTAAGGAAATATAAATACCCTATCCCTTTCATCAGCTCAAGCCCAAGAGCAGGTTTATAATTTTAATATCAACAGACCTATGTTTTTCTTCTCTCAAATCACCTTGTTAATTCCCTTAAAATATGAGCTAAAATATACATTATTAAATGTTTCTTTCACCTGTGACTCACTGCAGGATTCTTCACAGCCACCACAGAGGCAGTCTAATGGCACAGATCTGACTCTGTCAGCAGCTCCTGCACAGCATACCAGCTGCTGTTCTCAGCTCCTGTGTGAGCCTCTTCACCCATTCAAGTCAAAAGGCACAAAATGTAAAGCTTTAAATACGTATTAACATAATTCCCACACTGCAGAACTTCTCCATAAACTGTTTCAGTTTCTCAAATATCTTAAAAATATTAGCACAACATTATAGTAAGATGCACTTGTTTAGTAGTCCTCCAGGGTCACTGACATAGGCACATATTGCAAATGCTGAGACCACTGTACCAGAGAATTCTTTGAACTAATTATTTATGCATTCTGTCAGGTAAAAAAAGAAAAAAAAAGGAAAAAAACCAGCTTTATTATGATCTAGCCATTAATCTCATAATAATTATTAATCTAAGTATGTTTGGGTTTTTTTTCAAATAAATGAGTTTACTGGCTACTGGGTTCCAAATTCAAATGAACAAATGGCAAATCCAGATTACTTGGTAAGTTTATAATTCATTCTCTTCTGGATGCTGGTCTATTGATTCACTCACCCAAGATCTTCCTCTGTGCTAACAGAGCAGTATCACAGTTATAGCAGCTCATGCAATACAAATACTGCTCACCTCAACAAGCTCTTGAAGAATAATTAAACTTTTTTTCCTTTCCCATCAAACACCAGGAAACAAAAAATATGACTAACACCACATACATCTCCACACACTACCTTTTCATCCAGACTCTGAACTGCTGTATTTTTCTTTGAATCTCTCATTTGCTAGTATTTTATTGCAACATTTTGGATTTATTTTACTAATGGAAAAACCATCTATTAGCAATTTCACCTATTCTGTCACTGATTAATTATGGTTTTTTCAATGTCCTCAGAATTCTATACAAGATGCTAAAATAACTTGTTGGCATCCAGGCTGTTAAAACCTTTCAGTTTTCAGTATTTTAATAAATATTTTATATATATTTATGTATTTTTAATATATTTTCATTATTTGTATATAATGAATATATATTTTATATAATATATAATTTTTATTATTTTTATAATATGGAATACATGTTACATTTTAGCAATGCCCATAGCAATTACCTTCAGTTCAGTAATAGTTTTTCTTACTGAGCTACATGAATATTATTCAAACTCAAGTACTCCAAATCCTAGTTCTTGTCACTAATTCACATTATGAGTATTTTTCTTCCCACTGGAGCCTGTTGGTTTTAAACCCTAAGTCCGTTTTGATTCACATTTTAAAATAATTAGTGTTCCAGTGGAACTTTTAAAAATTATATTATTTCGCTTAAGCTATTTACTTCATTTGTTTTATTATTGATAGTACATTCTGCTGAGGAATAACTCAAAGTCAAGAAATCTGATGCATCTTCTATGCTGTCTGGATTTGACTGATCATTTTGAGCCTCTGCACAACAGAATCTTCCAATAGCTTCCTACAAGCTGCCTTTGTAGACAAAATGCCCAATTTTATTTTTTTTTTAAATTATCAAACCTAAAAATATAATAAACATTAGTGGTGATACGCCTTCACAGAAGATTAAAAAGAAAATGTTTCTGCATTTCATTGCCTAGGAGGAAATAATGTAAGATTGCTGCTGCTGTGAAGAAAATTAGTTAGAAATAGGCTGCATGCACACCATATACCAGCACATGACAGGTGCTTTTGCTGTATTGAATCTGGAGAACTGCACTGATTCACAGGTGATGCAGAAGAAAGGCAGTGGATCACACAGGCTGCCTCCATGGAGAATAAGCACAAATTTAATACTATGTCACTATCCATACACATTTCACAGATACGATTATGAAAATTAAATCATTGACTAATTAAAACAACAACAACAAAAAAACGTGTCTGATACTTTTGTCTGGAAATTGGACTTTCTAACTGTCTGAAATCTAACTTTATGATCCTGAAGGGAAAAACAAGACATCAGGACTAGCACATTAAAGAAAGCTCTAAATGCTAGTCAGAGTAGGTAAATTTAGGACTGCCACCCAAATTTTGATTATTAAAAATAAATTGCCATATTCTCTCACATAAAAGACAGCTCCCTAGATCTAAAGTGTCCGATTAATGTAGCATGATCCAGTAGCCCCCCGTCCTGCTTTTGTGCCACAAAGTAGTTAGGAAAAAGATACTAGGTTTGGAGGAGAAAAAATAACAGTTCCTGCTGAAAGAACTTTTTGTTGAGAAGTACCTCTTTAGACATGCAGGCCATACTTAGCTGTACTCTAATGGAGACTGATTTATAAGTGTAACACAGAAAAGTAGCCGGAAGGACCACAATATATTAAATACTTCCTATATTTGTCACATAGCTGTTAAAATCATACGTACTCCAAGGCAGAATGTGCAACCTATTTTTGTAAATACTATTTTAAAAATCAAAGATAATAGTTAGTAGACATATATTACTATTTCTCTATCATAGTCTAATCCCAAGTGCCACAACATGAAATTTAGACAGCTTTGGAAAGGAAGATATTGTAAACATACACAGACTGAGAATGTAGTTTCCCTGGCAACCAAAAGACCTGAGAACTCATTCCTTCAGGTTGCAATTCTTTTTATGAGCTCCCACATCTGCTTGCATAGGAAGGAGACACCTGGGATTACATTTCTGGAGTGATGAGTGACAAATTATAGAATAGACATTACATAGCTAATTTTGTGCAGTGGTGAATATGAAACTTCTGATGTTCATTATCATGGACCACCCAGAATATCTGAGGACGCCAGTATTCATACCCTGATTAAGCATACAGCCTTTTCCTTACTTACCTTGACAGGAGCCAACACCTGTAAGAAAACCAATGAGGATGCTCCCCAGCTTTATATTAACATGGGTTAATGGACTATTTCAATAACGAGATTGTAAGCATTTCTTTCTGTTAAAGTAGTGTATAGGCCAGAGAAAGGAGGAAATATTGCACGTTAGATGGTGATCAGGAAAGAGCAGGCACTTCTGTTGGCTATTTCCAAGAGCAACAGCTGCAAAAAAAAGGTAATTTATTGTAAAGTTTTATTTAACTCTCAACATGAACAAAGCTATGACTCAGCTGGCTTAGATGAAAAGAATTACTACAGCAGGATACTTTAATTCCCTAATGTCTTCTCTGCAAATATTCAGTGTTTGCTATATGCAAATGACTTTGTATGGATGCTGTCACACCAGCAGGGTTATTTTGTTCAGCCCAACATCTACAGGCAAACTACCTCAGCTAGGCTGTCACTAGTATGTCAGGAAGAGTAAGTGAATTCTCGCCACTTGTATTCAACATAATTGACTTGCTCAGACAGTCCTGTGTTAGATCAACTGAAATTATTTGATTTGTTATCACAATTAAGTTTATTATAATTAATGACTTTTGTGAACAAAACAATTTTTGAATGGGTTGTGGGTTGGTTGGATGCTTCCAAGATCATTTAATATTCTTTCATGAGGCAAAATGAAAGGAAAAATTATTTCAGTATTTCACCTTTCCCTACTAAACGTATTCTGTTTCTGTCTGAATACCTTTTTGCTGTAGATTTCTAATGCTGAGAAATGTGCAATAAGTTTTTGTATATATAACCAGAGTTATCCAAAGAAACTCTCTTGTGAAGACTAGTATCCCTAAAAACCATCAAGGTTTGCTTTTTAATTTCTTCGACCTCTTTCAATCCAATTTATAGCATTTTACTAAGAGCTTTTGAAAACTGAGGCTAAAAAATATTCATGATAGCACCTGTGCAATTTCAGCAGCAGATTTTCTAACATACACAGCCTTCAACGCACTCTATAAAAACCAAAAGATGAGCACCACCCGCCATACCCCCCCAAAAAGCCCCATACATTATAACCTGATTTAACATTACTTTGAATTAGACTCAATTAATAGCATATCCTCAAGTTGTCACCTACTTTCATGCTCAGACTGACTGAAAATTTCAGACCTTGCAGAGCAAGAAATGCATTCAAACTTTAACCATCACTACTGGGTAAATTACGACTTACCACTCTACTTGATGGCGCACACTGAAACTGAATACTGAGTTTCTTTGCATGCACCAAATACAAGTGGAGCCTTGCATGCAAAGCCCAAACTTTATCTACCTGAAGGTAAATATCAAGTAGTTTTTCTTTCTGTGGCCATAAATACAAATTAAATACTTACAACGATAAATATAGCTTCCCATTATACAGACTACACATCAGTGCTAATAGAACCAAATAAAAATGTATTATTTTACAACAGAACAAATATTTTGAAAATTTGAGTGCTTCACATTATGCACCAAACTTTGCTGTAGATTTTCGAAATTTGAATCTCCAGAACATGTTTCATAGAGCAGTGTAATTCATATCAAAATGTGAGAAAAAAACAGCTAAATCCAAAATTTCTAGGCAAGCCTGACCCAAAAAGTTTCTAGCGTTTCACACTGAGCCCTCTTATCTGCATTCACTTACATAACACTTCATAAGCTATGAAAACATACATTCAATCAACAGCAAAAACTTAACACCTCTGTTCTTTATTTCCCATCTTTGTATAACCCAGTTCTCAACCATACTGCCCAAAAGTGTAGGCAAACGTGAAAGGAGGTTAAAAAAGATTTTTAATAGGAATTGCCTTAAGGAACAGGAAACCTGTTATGTTGTCTTAACATATTAAGCAATTTAAAAGGAAGAAAATAGTTCGCTGTCCTCATTTCAGCGGGGATAAAGTTAATTTTCTTCCCAGAAACTGGTATAGTGCTGTGTTTTGGATTTGGCATGATCATGATATTGATAACAAACTGATGTTCCAGTTCTTGCTAAGCACTGCTTACCATTAGTCAAGGACTTTTCTGTTTCCCATGATCTGCCAACCAGGAGGTGCACAAGCAGCTGGGCGGGAACATGGCCAGGACAGCTGACCTGAACTGGTCAAAGGGATACTCCATCCTATCATGCCCCATACATAAACTAGAAAGGCCCAGTCACTGCTCTGGGACGGTAGGTGGTAAGCAGTGATTTCTTGCATCATGCATCTTTCTATTTTATGCATCTCTGTTTTATCTCTTTTCATTACATTATTGTTGTGGTGGTGGTTTTTGCTGCTGTTGCTATTATTTTTATTATTAAATATAATTATATATGTATATTGGTGGCAATAATTTTGAGCATGCAACTGTACAGCACACTTGCTAGCAAAACCACGAAAAGTTCAATCAGCTTAGGCTGAGTATACGAATAGTTCAAATGTCATGTCTAAATCAGAATATGTGTCATGAGACACATAAAAAGAGGTACCCTTGTATGAGCAAAGAATTTTTTTAAAGATTGCTCTTCAATGCACAAATCCTTTAGAAAGTTTCAAATAAAACCAGGGACATCTGACACTAAATATATTAATATATATGCTTTATATTATATTTACATATTATTATATATTGATATTATATAAAGTTAAATTATGTTACTACAATATATATTTCTGTAGTAATGCAATGTAATATTTTTATCATATATATAAATATATATATCAATATATACACTGCAAAGAACTGCTCAGAATTTAATTTGATTTTATTAATTAAGCTGAGAGAAAATATTATTTGTATCAGCAGGAAAGAGCAAGAGGAGTACTAGTAAGGGAATATATAAGATTCTTGGCACATTAGACAGATGGGCACACATTTGCCTTGGGAAACACTGAAGTCTAAGCTGAAGTTTGGGAAAACAACAAGATGTTAGAAAATGAGTAAGTGTAAGGATGGCAAGAAATACCTTCTAGGTGTTCCCTTGCTAGCACTGGGGAAAGCATCCCTGGCCCCTCCAACCCTGGAAGTAAGTCGTACATGAGTGCAGTTGGAAAAAAAACAGATGTATTTTCCTGCTCCAGAATACATTTACCAGATAGAAGACTTTCAACAAGGGACTCCTATATCACCTTAATCAAAAGACTTGTTTATAGCACTTTTCATCTCAGCTCTCAAAAAATTTCACTGTATCACCTCCATCCCTTCCCAAATACAGAACACGCCCATTTCCCCTTTTTCCAGTGGCACTAGTTTGGTTGATTTTCTAGCATGATCTGGTGTTTATGATATGGATACCCTATGAATTTCTGTCCTGGATATTAATTCTGCTTAGATAACTGTCCCATCCATCCCCTCACACCTTTTGTTGTCTACAGTATTCTGACATTTTTGTGTCACCCACCATCTTGTTAGTGATGCCACAGGTCAAGGTGGGTCATCTGCACAAACATAAGTCTGCCTTTTTATCCTGCAGCAACCTGAAACTCCTCATGTTCTTACCTTGTCAGAGGTGCCACAGGTCAGGGTTAGCTATCTGCATGCAAACCCTAATCCATAACTCAAACAAGTTACTGAATTTTAGAAGCAAATATAGTCAAGATTTGTATGTGTCCCCTGAAAATTGGGACTTTAGGGTTAGCAATGGGTGAAATGAAAGTGGCAAATACTTACTTTTTGATGACTTTTCTGATAATTAGTAGCCTTATGCATGCAGTATCAAAAGATTCAACACCTCAGTGCAGTCATTCCTACAATTGTTTGTCTTCCAGCAGATTTGTCTTACTTGGTCCTGCAAAAAAAATGCTTTCCACTTTCCTGCTTAAACACAACTTCCTTTAGTTATACCAAGTGCAAAGATCCATCTAATGCAAAGGTCTGTTCACATCATACTGAGTATGGAACATGCCATACATGCAATGCTGTTTTGCAGCCTTTGGATTTAAATTTGGGTGTGATTTCTAATGTTTTGGTGACTGCAATCTGCCTGCTTTAGAATTTCTTCAGCACATTTCATTGAACTGCTAATAACATTTTTTATTACAAACTGAGAAGATCTTCTCATTATTTAGAGAGCAGAGTTTAACGGTTTTGATTTTCATAGCTGCTTTTTAATCACCATTTTAATCATCTATCCTCACTCTCTACCAACCTGTGGACATGAAACTCAACCTGAAGTTAAAATTAGCACATTCAACAGATTTGGCAACAACCAAAATAAAATCAATGGACATGGCAGGAGGTATCAGTGAACTACTGTTGCCACTCTGGACAAGAAGAAGAAGAAGAAGAAGAAGAAGAAGAAGAAGAATTATCTGCACACATACTCCATACCCGTCAAATTCTATGCAAGTTGTCATAACAGCTACTATTGCTGCAGGGACTGAATATATGAATTTCTTCTTTTCAAGTGCATCTTTAGTTCCTTCAATATACATTTTGCTTAAGTTTCAAGGTCTGAGAGATGGAATAACACAAGGTCCTCAATTTTGGCAAATCACTCTAGTTCTTATTCAGGAAGACTGAAAGTGAAGCAAGTGAAGTCCACCAAAGAGGTGACCACAAAGACCATTGGTGTTATAGGCATCTAACTAAATCATTATGTTCTTGAATTCTCAGTGGGACAGACATCTTAGTCACCAAACATACCAAGTTTAGAACATTCACATTACTGCATACAACTTTTCAAAACACACATGCATAAAAGGGAGAAAATATCCACCTATTTATTCAACTATATACATATGAGTGTGCAACTCAGGCTCAGGCTGCCAAGTGACTCTTCTAATCGGGTTTTTTTTGGTTGGATATTTTTGTACAGCTTTATTAGATGATCTTATATCTGCATCTGTACTCTTGCTTACCATCATAGTCCAATTTTCTCTGATCAGGTTCTTTAAGATATTTAGATATTTATAGATACACCCCTAGGATTTGGTTGGTCATACATCATACCCATATTTCTGTTACCTATGCTTACCTTGATAGACATTTTTAATTTTGTTAATGTGATAACATGAATTATAAAAACATTTGCTTTTTTTAGTGTACTGTAAAATTGTTTATCTGATGTTAGAAGGTTGTAGCTTGGCAGCAAGAGGGAAGCTTCTATTTACTCTAGCTGCTGTGCTCGAAATCAGGTTTAAACTTCTGTGAAAGGAGAAGTTGCTTGAGATGGCTGAGCACAGGTAATTGAGAGAACAGACTGAGAAAGTAGGGAGAGAAGAAAGGACAGATGGTGTTAGCCCAAGTAAGGAAGGCTAAATAGAACTGGCAGAGGTTTAAATACATAGACCTGCTTGTTCAGTTGCTGTAACTTTCCCTCTGTACAAGAGGTGTTTAGTGTACAAGAACCTAACCATTTCTTTCCAGTTTACACAGAAAGCAATTCCAAAGATACTAGTGTGACTGAGTAGGCAACTCTTTCTTCATTTTTCCAATTCAGTGGTATAAGATCTATGACTTAGCAGCATGCCTAGACCCTGAGAAAGGTCTAGATTAATTCTAGAAATTTCTATCAAAGTTGATGAGTATCTAAAAGGAAGCCCACAACATCATTGTGGGGCACTCAGAAAATCACTGATAGATGTAGAGTTTTCTCCTGTGCCTAGCTTTTAAAATTTTTATCTTTGAGCTCTGCATGGAAATCTTCTTAAGGCTTTTCATTTTGGAAAATTCATCATGCTGGGTGGAGTTTTGCTTTATAGCTTCAGAAAAAGGCATGCAGACATGTCTGGTAACTACCAACTTCTATAAATTATTGGGCTCTTCTAGTTCAAAATGACATTGCTTATGGTTCAGTGAAGATCCATAACCAGGGCAAGCTAGTAAATCTCACCACATCATTCACAAAAATACAGCCTCTGACATTGCATTCAACTTTGCATTTCATACTTTGTATGAAATTTAATATTGCTCTTGTTTTGTATATATTCTTATCCTGCCAGCACAGAAGACAGTCATGTTAATTCACCTGCTCTGATGTCTGTTGATCATCATTTCCCAAGTCTTAAAGAGACAAACCAGCTTTGAGTATATATTTTAGATTTTGAATAAAATTAATAGAATATTTCAAAAGAATCTACATACTTCTGTCCTATAAAGCCTTAAGTGTCTTTTTTTTCTTTTTTTTTTTTTTTTTAAGAATGCAGATGGTAAATTTAAAAATTGCTCCACTGTGACTAGATTTTATTATCTGGCCAAATTGTTGCTGTCAAGGTTATTAATTGAGGTAGAAAAAACTGTAATGTACAATTACACAAGGGTCAGTACAGGTGAATTCTTTTTCTCTGTCATTATTTTTGCTTCAAATATGGAAAATGACACCTACACAACATGTATCACTGTTGAATTAAGTGATTTCAGGGGCTCAGTAGCATTCCATCCCTACGGAAGGGAATTAGATGACCAACTGATTTATTTTGTGGTTCATCACTGTACATGATGATTTCAGTGCATCCTTATAAAAAAATGCAAAATCCAAAGATAATTAAATAGTGTGTTTTTTCATTGAAATAAACAGAAGATATTTTTCATAGAACAGTGGGCTGTAAGTGCCATCTGATAAAGGAGGAAAGGGACTACAGACTTCAATCCAGCTGCATACAACCCTGGGAAAAAAAAAAGGCAGGAACTATATTAGAAAGCCAAGAGGATGCCTTTCTCTAATTTTAAAAAAGCTCCATCTGTACAATAGCCTCAACAGTTGTAGAGATCATTTCTAAAGGGACAAGAATACCACCTACACTGGCAGAAGCAAAACATAAAAAAACATCTGGAACCTTTAATCCCTCTCAGGTACCTAGTTTGAAGCAGTCTAATAGTCATCCTCCCCAAAGAGAGAGACAATAAAACTAGAAGAAAAAAAAATAAAATATGCATTGAAAAGAAGAAAAGAAAAGAAAAGAAAAGAAAAGAAAAGAAAAGAAAAGAAAAGAAAAGAAAAGAAAAGAAAAGAAAAGAAAAGAAAAGAAAAGAAAAGAAAAGAAAAGAAAAGAAAAGAAAAGCTATATTTTGCTAATTTTAATGAAACCTGTGAATTCCTGTATGTTTATGTTCTAAAACATGCTTCAGTAATGAAGAATAACTTGACAGAACCAACACAAAGATAATGATAAATCAAAAGCAAGAAGTTAATGGAGCAATTCAAAGAACCTTGTTGTATCTAAAATTCTTTGAAGTTTATTTAAGAAAATGGTATCTGGTCTTCTACTGATACCCAAGTTATCTTTCTTCTCAAAATTGAAAGTCACAAAAAGAGGCTTTTCCTTCTTTTCCTTTGTGAAACACTAAACATTCCCATTTACTAATTCTAATATAAATATAGATATTTCAGTTTTCACCTTCTAGACTAGATAAAAAGCAGTATAAAAAAGTTTCAGAACTAAAACACAGACTGTTTTCCAAGAAAACTAAATAAACTAGGGGATTTATTTGCATAGATATCCAAATGTCTGTATCACTTGGTCAAATTATTTTTTTGCAGTTAGAGATATTAATGCCTATATTGTATTCTAGTACACAAAAATATTTCACTTATTACTCTATTTCACCCAGAAATATTTCAATGACAACATAGTACAAAAGTCTGGTATAGAATTAAAATAATGTCTTCCATAAATATTTTATAAATAGGTATATTATATATATACATATACCCCAGAGCTAAATCATTTACCATGTTAACAAACCTCTCTAGGAAGAAAGGGCTTTCATTTATCAAAAAGATGAGTGGGGCCATAAACTCTGACACTTCAACCACTTTAACTCATGACAAACGAACTAGACCTTCTCTCCCATGTTGCTTTTCCAAGGATTTGCCTATTAATTCTTTCCAGCAAAAGAATTTCAAGAGTTTTTTTGACTAATTTGGTTTTTAGTGTCACTGACATAGTAAGCAAACATGAAATCTGAATATTCAACTGAATTGGAGAAATGAGTCAATGAATACATGAATACTCTATACAGCAAAGCTGTTCAAACATTTTGTGGTGGGTTGGCATTTAGGAAAAAATGTTAGAAACACCCACAGATATGATGGCTCTTGAGAGAGACTGCTGGGAGTTTCTTCTCTGCTTGAGACCTGGCCAATAGCTGGCCAGTTCTGAGAATTCACCACTGAATTTTCACCACTGAAAATTGAGATCACCTTTGTGAATACCTCCCTTTAAACCTAAGCCCAGGAGCTTCCAGCTCTTCTTTCCGGCCTTGAAAGGTAGCAGGGCTCTGCTGTGGCTGCCCCTCGCTTCCCCCGCGGCCTGTGCTGCCTGGGGCGGTTGGGCCGGAGCCCAGCGGCTCCTGGGCAGGGGATGGAGGCTGCAGGGCCTTGGCCCCAGGCTGGGCCGAGCTGTGCTGCGGGACTGGCTTCTCCTGGGAATCCCTCCAGGTCCTGTTCCAGCAGGGTGGCCAAAGCTCTTCCCAGGGGGACCCTGGACAGCTGTTGACACCCACCATGGCCTACACAGACAGCTCCAGGCCACAAACTGTCTGCTCCTTCCCTGTGGCTGCTGTGCTGAGAGAGACACCTGAAATCCAGCACCATGAATACCTGCTGTGGCTTGGGCTAGATTTTAACCCTTTCACTACTCAGATGAGACCTGCAGATTTAATCCCTATCCAGAGAGAGGAAAGTGAGGGTGATCAACATGTAAAGAGACAGTATAAACCATCAAAGTCAATAGAAGAAGGAGTCAAGCCTCAGATGGAAAGAGAATGAGGAGATGCTTTAATAAACTGGAATATTCTTTTGGTAAGGCCATGGAGATGGACAGTAATGTTCTGGAAAACTCCTTTAATTCATGAAAAA